GTAGAGAGAGAGAGAGCAGCGTCAACCTTTCAGGTCAAATTCCGAAGTTTTTCATCAAATTTAATGCATAGACCAGCAATTGCAGAGGGGTTTTTTTTTCTTGAAAATTACAGAGGAAATTCATATATAGAAAGGGCGTTTCAGGGACCCATCAAATTCAATCAAAATAAAAAAAGGAAACAGTAGAAACACTAGAAAAACATCAATTCAAAGGAGAAGAAGCCATTCTTTAACCTTGAAGAACATGGTGAGCATATCTGAAGGCAAAACAGGAACGGCGACTGGACTCTCAGCTGGTGAATCTTCGGGAACTAGGGTTTCCTCAGCAACTGCTGCTCTCCATTTACTTTTGCCACAGAATCTCTTGCTCAAGACACCCCATTTCTTAGAATGAAGAGACAGAAGAGATACAGAGAGAGAGGGAGAAGAAGAGAGAGAAGAGGAAGAAAGAGGAGAGAATAGGTTGAATTGGGGAGTTTTGGCAGTGGCCAAGCAGGCAAGAGGGAGAGTCGCGGCCATTTTCGGAAGACGTTGCTCCCTCTCTCTCTATCCATCCACTCACTGTTATACTCCCGGGTCCATTAGCACTGTTAGAGGGAGGCAGCGTAGGAAACGGGTCAGGTCGTATCCGTGCCCAACTCGACAGGACCCGATCCGACCAGGTCTACGTTAGACTTTGACCCGGTTCAAACCATAGCTAGCAACTCGGGAAACAATAATATATCTATCGAGGTGGCGACGGGTCGGGTAGGGTTTAGGTTTAGGTTCGGCTGGACCCAGACTCGGACTTAGACCCGAATAGATTCGGGTCTAAAAGTTGGACCCATACTCATACCCATCGGGTCCCAGGTCAGATCCATTGCTATTTTAGGTGTTTTTTTATTTTATTTTATTTATTTTTATCTCTTTTTACCATCATATACTTATACTATTGGCAACAAATTCACAATCCTTTGCTATTAGATTTCAAGCCATTTGATTTGTTATTTAGTAGTTAAAGATGACTACGAGTCCTTAATGTATACGATTCTTAATACACCCAAATGAATATTGTTTGAAGTATTTTATCTCAAATATTTACAGGTATGGGTCGGGTACAGGTCGGGTCCAACTAGACCTGGACTTGGATCCCAATAGTATCCGAGTCTAGGTTTTGGACTCGGACCCGACCTGCTGGATCCAAATGTTGGATCAATACCCGAACTCGTGTTGGGTCCAAGTTTATTGCCACCCCTATATATCGATAAACATAAATATCGGTAATATATCGGTTTTATTTTAAAAAATCGGAAGAAAAAATCGAGTTAAAAATTCGGATTGACCCAAAATAAGATAAGTTATAAAATTGTGAATATTTCGGACTTGGCTCAAAAAATTGAAGTGAACAAATCGGAGATATGAAAATTACATATTATGATTTGCAGTTATAGTATTAGGTACTTTGAAGCCATTCAACAATAATTTTAAGCCATTTGTATGAGATTATAAATAAGAAATAGATTGTTTTGGGTTCTTAATACCCCATTCGTATAGGAGCGCAAATGGGTATGGATAGGGCCCAACTACATGACAAAAATACCCCATTTGTATAGGATTGCAAATAAGAAATAGATTGTTTTGGATTCTTAATGTGGAATAATTACATGTATTTATATCATTTCACACATGCAAGAAATATGATGCCAATTGGCGCAAATAAGCCTAATTGTTTTTTATCACTAATCCTGAATAATGTGCTTTTGATTTTTTAATCTTGAACAAGTATTGTCATCACTCGGTTAAAGCCTATTGGAGGGTCAAATTATTGAAATAATCTTGATTGTCGAGGCTTCCCAATCCTAGAGACATGCAATTTGGGGATTTTTTAATTTTATTTTAAGAGGTATCTATGAAACAAAAATGACAAAGCAACCTCTCTAGGGATGGGAATCAGGTCGGTTTGACCTACTGACCTGACGGGTTGACCTAACATGGGTCTAGGTCTAGGTTTTACTTTTGGACCTGACGAGTCGGGAAGTATGGACCCCATTATGAATCAGGTTGGCTCAACGTCTAAGTTGACTCGGCCTGACCAAATCGAGGTTTTATATTACCGTTATAATATACACACACCAATATTTAATAATTATTGTAAAAATTTTATACATATTAATGAAATCATATTTAACTTAATTGGCCCAAAACCTTAACAAAAACTTCCACTTAAATTTAATTATTTAATGTTAATTATCTCTACTAATTTCAAGAAAAAATAAATCAATGCAACTAAAAACAAAAAAACTAATAATAGAATTTTACAAATCAAGCCTCTTAACTTTCAATTGGTGGATGACAATTGGCTTGGACATGGTCAGAGTTGACTCGGATTCCCAGGTCAGGTCGGTCAGTTCCAAGTTCATGTACCCTCCATTGGGTCGGGGTTTGTGTGGAGTGGTGTTGGACCAGGTCAAGTTTGGGTCTGGGTCCACTCCACATATTATCAAGTCTAGGTAGGGTCCAGGTCAGGCACGACCTAGTCCCTACCCGACCCATTCCTTGCCCTAGACCTTTCAAATGTTAATATGGACTAGTTGACCCTTTAATGATTTTGTAAAGGGAATCAACCCCTTCAATGACATTGTCCAAGTTCTTCATGCAGATCAAATGTGCATATCTGAGTTATTTTTTTTCGAGTTGGCTACTAGGTTGAGTAAGTCACATCCCCAAAGTTTAGAAGTTTAGTGTCCTAACTGTACTGGCAAGTATGGATTCGGCCGAGGGAGCAATGTGTGAATTTTGCTCTTGACAGAGCATATGATCTTTTCAATTGTATCCGATCATTCTTATCAACGACACAAGCGAATCAATGTTATCAGGATCGCACTGCCATTCTTATCTAAGACCGATCCGACTGTCGATCAAACTGGTTGAATCGGAATTTTAAAAACTAAAAAAAACTAGAATAGTTTATAAGATAAAATATATAAATAAAGAAATATTTACCTTTGTTTAACTGATCTAACCTATCAAAACAAGTTAGCCCAATTGGCCGAAGTCAGTCAAAGATTAATTTTAACTGGTTTTTAACCAAACTCGGTTTTTACTTATAAATCAAACTAGACAAAGAGGAAGTACAACCTGGAGGTCCAAACCAGTTTTAATAACTATGAAGCAAAATTTTCACTCTATAGACAAGATAGCGGCTTTTTTTCATAAGACGAACTTTACTACAGTGAGCTTCCATGCTACTTGACTCACTACTTGATTCACAAAAGGAACATTAAAAGCAAGCCCTGAAAGTCTAGTGGCCAATTCTGTGAAGAAAATCATTTGATAGAACACTTAGATTTTAGTTAAAAGATCAAGTATCCTTTCCACATGCATGCTGGGTTTAAGGTACCAAACATAATCCTTCTATGTAAGAATAAATATTATCCATTACATGCAAACAAATACAAGATAGCATAGAGAATCACAATTGATGGGTTTGTTAACCAGACATATGAATGTTCCCCAAACAACATAACCTTCTTATTGGAAGGCTTAAACTAAGAAGGCGAGAACCCTTTGTGCTTAGAAATTAGAACACCCCATTAATTATGCCAAAAGAGTATTCATTCTCTCGGGTAAAACCTTTCGTTGGATTATTTTCAGGACCTTTTTCTCGAATCCATTATGTATGTGCCTGAAAAAAATAACATGCACAGACAATAAGACCTAAATTGTTATGGAACTTAAAGGTCCAACTTTCCTTTTCTTCTTTGAAAATACTCGATATGGTGATTCGAAAGTAGAAACAAAATTTCAGGTTGAGATAATCCTCCCAAGCAGGTCTTTTTCTCGAGGGTGTAGACGTAAAGTCTGAGCTCTTGAAAGTACGTTAGTACTCTAAACCGTGGAAGAAGGGCATTGAAGTGCCCTGCCGAGTCCATAAAGCTTAACTTCTTTAACTTTCACTCCTTTTGATGGAAAAAAAGCTTAAACATTTCATTCTTGTGGAAATTTGTTTTGAATACACAATGAGCCAACAAGGGGGCAATGAGGATTTATCTCCTTTGAAAATTAAGTTTAGATATACAATAAGAAAACAGAAGGGCAAAGATGAGAGGGTACAGAACTAGGACTAAAGCTACAACTCCCATAAAGTCATGCCGAAATCCGTAATAATCTTCTAAGAAAGCGCGAACAGACTTTTTCTCTCCAAACACGTCAATCACCTTGTCTGTTTCTCCATATTGTGAAGTTAGAAAGCCATTTAAGGTCCATGCAGTAGGACATATCCAATTACACCAGACCCACCACTTGGGAATTTGCTGCATAAAAACACATTACTACATCAGTCATAACATATCAGTTGATATCACAACATAAATATCCTTGATCAGTATTCGCGTTATCACTATGAGCATGACAGAGCCACATGATAAAACGTGCCATCATATGAAATACCTCGTTTACAAGAATATACTTTTATCACTATGAATGCTAGAACACAATGGAATAAGAAAATGTCTACAACATTGAATGTGGTTTTTTTGGTTTCTGGTCTTTGTAAATGGTAATTTTACTCATTTGCCTCAGTAAGCTGGTATATGAACCCAAGAACACTGAGATGCAGTTCATAAGCCGCAAATCATAAGCCAAGAGGCTGAACCCAATTTGGCCTCGTGCTCTGATAGAGGCATTAAATCTAAACTCCAATCCATGAGGCCTAACCCCATAGACCTAGTATCCGGGTATTCAATTCTTAGGGTTGGATTAGGATTTGGTAATTGTAATTTTGAACTTAAGGGTATTAGCCACATAGTCAAGGATCCCAGCCCTTAATCATAACCAAGCTCCCTCGTGATTGGAACCATTGTTTTCACCATTTTGTGATGGCTTAGTTTCGGATAACCATAGTCTATTGAACGTCCTATAAAATACCAATCTGACAGTACAAACATTACTGCATGATTTTGGCAATTCCGAAATATAGTCCTACCATTGCTTTTTGATAAAAAGATTTACTACCACGCATGCTCATTATACTATAGCAATCATATTTTCAACATATACTAAGATGTAAAATAATTTCTTATTTTTTAGCCAATAAGAAACTAATCTTTGTCTTAAGTTTTTAAATTACGATAACACAAGAGAACAAGATCTCTAGAAAATACAGGATTATTTTGTGCCATTTAATATATTTAATTTATAGAAGGCTAAATTTTATACTTAGAAAGCATACTTTCAAAATATTTTTCCTAAACAAGAAATGGGTATCACAATAACTCATTTTTCAAGAGAGATAAAAACAGAATAAAGTTTATAGTATTTAATATATTAGTTTGATGCTTACTGGGTCTATATGAAGAGCTTGGCTTGTTATATCATAATTACAGTTATATTTTAGGGAAATTATCGCTAATATACCATAAATTTAGCAAAATTGAAAAAAAAACCCCAAACTTCCCAAAACCTCGCCCACACCTTTTTTTCCAATTTTCGTGATTTTTTGGACGAAAATGCCCTTTACGGTAGTCTTTCTACCGTAATGGCAAGATAAAATTACGGTACTTTCAGTATCGTAATACTCATTACAGTACTCTTAGTACCGTAATGCTCCTTAAGATCATTACGGTCTTTTTATGACCGTAAAAAAGTTTAAGACCATTACGGTACTAAGAGTATCGTAATGAGCATTACAATACCCTTAGTACCGTAATGCTTGTGTTGAGATTTGGGGGATTTAGCTGCAAGAGAGCGAATGACTCTTTCGAGTCTTTTGCACGACACTTTCTGTTCCTCCTCCCATTGCGGCAACTCTGGGTACACACATTCAACAGAGCGATCACCAATTCCCTTCAACAGAGCGATCAACAATTCCCTTCAAAGAAATTTCTGCTGCAACCAAATGCTTAATCTCAATTTCTGGCCCTTGAAACCCAAGGGAAGATGTCACATGATTTTTTAAGAACGCATATTTGGGTTCTAATAGCTTTACTGCAGGTCCACCATCATCACCGAATTCATTGAACCTTTGCCAAGAAGCAAGTATAAAAATCAAAGAGAACAAAAACTCTCCCTGCGAATGAAATGAATCCCATTTCCACCTCAAATCCAACAAAAAAAAAAAACCCTTTTTCAGCAAAAACCGCTTCAAATTCCAACCAAATGTCTCCAAATTCCGGCACAAACGAACCAGACCTCAAATAAATCCGATTAAGGTCCCTTCAAAATCCGACCAAAAAACCCTATAATCAGCAAAATCCGGCCAAATTTCCGCAGTTAGCCGGAAATTTACTGGGGTTCTCTCATTACGGTAGTCTTAGTACCGTAATACTCTTAAACTTCTTTATGGTCATAAAAAGACCCTAATGGTCCAAAGTCCACTTGAATTCCAGTAGACTTTAGACCATTACAGTCTTTTTATAACCTAATGATCTTAATGGAGCATTACGGTACTAAGAGTACCGTAATGTAAGAGTACCGTAATGCTCTTTAAGACCATTACGGTTATAAAAAGACCGTAATGGTCCAAAGTCCACTGAAATTCCAACAGACTTTGGACCATTATGGTCTTTTTATGATCGTAAAGAAGTTTAAGAACATTACCGTACTAAGAATACCGTAATGCTCATTACGGTACTATGTTCATTACGGTAAAAAGACCACCTTAAAGGGCATTTTCGTCCAAAAAATCATGTAAATTAGGAAAAAAGGTGTGGACAAGGTTTTGGGAAGTTTGGGGTTTTTTTCCAATTTTGTTAAAATTAAGGTATATTAGCGATAATTTCTCTACATTTTAATGTACTGTTTTTGTCTAACAAGGTGAAGCTGTTATTTATGCTTCACTTTAGTAAAAGTGAAAACCATATAACCATACCCATGGTCGAGGCTCAGCTAGATATATGAATATTGTAGGGTAACCGCGTGTAGTTACCTTAGGTTAACACCACTTCGAAGTTAAAATCCAGAAAAAATATTTTTAGAAGGATAGTGAGTAAAATGAGGGCCTGAATATCAACTTAGGCTTCTAAACCAGTTAACAACACACGCATTGCATGATGCTCCTACATAGAGATTAGATAAGAAATAATTTTTGAAACATCTACATAAAATTAAAATTTTGATTTTGATTTGATTTTAAGTTCATGCAATATTATCGTTTTGCTGTTTAATTTTCTATCGAACTTTATTTTTTTATTTTTCTTTATGGATAACATGGGTATCATTACAGACATTTCTATATTTATAATTCCATTTTGGTAGGCACTATTGCCATATAACGGCCATTTCTGAATTTTTTTTAACTTTTCTTTTTCTGTTCACTCCTATTTTTTCTCCATAGTTGGCTATTTTTTATATGAAGATTTGGTTAAACATAAAAAGGATCTCCAAAGGGAGAAGGAGAATTGCAAAGGATCTCTAAAGGGAGAAGGAGAAGCGATTCTTTTTTGAATGACTTCAATCATTGTACTTGTATGACAAATCAAGAGAATTTCAAGTTGAAGATACTTTAGGGATGAGAGTTTTCAAGAAAACAACGAAAGGGAGAGATTTAGGAAATTTACAGGGTAAAACAATTCCGGTGAGATATTTAAATATCACACCAATTTATTCTCCCTTCAATATATAAACCAATGATCCATGTTCAAGCCATATATTGAGTGCTATCCATCTAGAATATTTGAATGACCATTTACTTTGATATAACATCCATATATGAAACCAACAAATGACTCCTGAGTCTTTTATTCAGCAAATGCCACAACTTGTCCTAAGAGTGCTCATGGGTTTGAACCTTGAAGTTTGTCCCTAATTGAAACCAAGAAAAACTACCCAAACAGTGAAACAACTGGAGTGCAAGCACTAAGATACAAGAAACATAAAAACTAGATGAGAGTTGAAAGAAATCACTTACTGGTCTAGGTACTATGAATCCTGAGAACAGGTTTTGAAGGGTGTAGCCAGCGGCGACCAATATAGATGCAACTTGAGCATTTGGGGTCACTGACACCATCAACATACCCAAGCAACAGAAGTAAAGCAAATTGCAGAACATGGTGAAGAGATACCACAGGAACTTATATGCAGACCAATGATACCCCATTGCTGGATATGTTATAACAGTGTAAACAACTGCTAGGATAAATGTATAAGGAAGCTCAATAACCACCTGTGCAAACATAAAAGGAAATCAAGATATAGAGGGCTCATGGAACCAACTGTTAACAATAAAACAAATCAACATAACATTCATAATAAAAAAATTTTAAAAAATAGAAAAGCACTCTGAACCTGGGCAAAAGAGTAGGCCATAGAAGAGTACATTCCAGCAAATTTTTCACGATAAAAAACAGCACGTTCAGTTGCCACAAAAGGTATGATGGCTGAACTATTTTGTATACCCAGAAGAAAGCTGCAACATACATCGATCCAAGTATGTTGAACAAGTCTTGCGCCTCATTTCTGCATAGTAAAACAGAATTTCAACTTGATAATTGAATACCTGTTAAGTGAATTCCAAAAATCATATCACCACCCACAATATACATGCCAAGAAGGTTCAAATGTCATATACAGTAACTTCCAAACTAGGTCATCAGCGATTTAAAGGGGAGGCAGTAGATTGTGAATCCTCTAAATGACTAGGGAAAGTTGGCCATGAGAAAGAAATGCTGTCCCATCTCCTAGGCAGCTAGAAACTCAATGTCAATGAGATATCCAAAAATGATCCTATCCGCACAGAAGATTGCAAGACTTCGGTAAAACCCCTTGAGTGAACCAAATTTGAATGAGGCACGTTAAGGAAAAAAAAGTGTAGGAAATCCTATTTATGAAAGAAGAGTTCACGCCTACGCCGTCGTATGATAGACATTGAGGTTGAAACCCTAGTATTTCAATACATAACCTGCTTTGGACCTCCTTAAGGTTCTTCATAACTTTTTTCAGCATTAAAAAACTCAGCCAAGTTATGAGCCAAGGCGAGTTCCCATCTACCCACTCAAGTACATGGGAAAGTGTACAGTACTTGCGTAAGTACCAAAGAACTTGCCTGAGTACTGTAGAACTCCAGCAAACTTGGCCGAGTTCTACATACTGGATGAGTCACTACAATACTTGCCCAGGTACTGTTTATAGAAAAAAGGGTGGCACCGCCACCGTTATTTGATTTCTCTCTCTCTCTCTCTCTCTACCTAATAGATTCCGCCCCCTTTTCTCATCTCTCCCTCTCTGAAAGGGGGAAGAAATCTGCCCCCTTTTTTCGTTCCTCTCCCTCTCTAAAGGAGGCAGAAAGCCACCCCACTTTTTCCTATCTCTCTAGAAGGGGACAGAAATCTGCCCTCCTTTTATCATCTCTCTCTCTCTTATGACAATAGATTTAACTCTAAGATGCAATTTCCAGACAAAATGTGTTTATTGTTAGTGTTTAGAACTGTCAATACTTGTATCAATATTAAGTCATCTTGATCTGCCATTGATATCTTGAGAATTGAGGAAGAATTGAATGCTTGGCAAACAGTGCATTATTAAGTAGGTCTCACTCGGCCCACGTAGAGCAGGTATGAATCTGTCACACTGAAGCAGGGGTTTGCATAGTCCTAGTATTTGAGTGACCGCTTTAGTTTGGCAAAAGTTCCCATGTTGAGATATTCAAAAACACAAACAAGAAAGAAAAAAGAGAAAAAGAATAGGCCAGCACCCCAGTAATCACTCATGAAACTACCAAATGGAGTAATAATTACGACTGAAAGTTGATGACTTCTGATATTTAGAGTTCATTAGAAAGTGGACATGCTTATATATAAAACCTGAATTCAAAAGATCTAGAGATAAACATCTGCCAAAAGCAAATAACTCACATTTTTTTCCCATGTTGCCAGAAAAGTGCCCCTAGAAAAACTGATGCGGCAAGTACAAAAAAGAGACGAACAAGGTTGTATGCTGGACTTCTCCAATATGATAAAGATTGCTTCCATAGACATGTTGTAAATTGTACCCATCCATTTTGAGGAAAACTCGTCTCAAAATACAAGTCTTTTGAACCTGGTTGAGGTGTACTTAATTGTTTGACCAACTCCATGTTCTCCCTACATATGACAAATTAATCTTTCACATAGCAATGTACGAGTAATGACTATTTTTCCATGAAACCTTTTAATAAATTAGGAGCACTCACAGGTAAAGAGATGACTCTTTATACAAGTCAGCAAAATCTATGCCAAGCTGCTTCTCCATAGATGTTGAAGTAACTTCCAGCATCCATGTTGCTGGGTTGTAATTGTCTCTAATCTTGGGCAAACCTAAAAAACTCTGCTTAAAAGTTATTAAAATACCATGACATACCAATCTTGAAATTCATGGCAGCAATGAAATTAGTAATGGGAAAAAATAGATGTCATTGAATAATTTTTGCATGGTCAGCTGTCTTTCCTCCTTCGGAGACTTCTCGAGCTTGAGCTCTCAGGACTCATACGGAGGGACAGCCTTGAATTCCTCCTATTTAGAACCACAATTTTGGCTCCAAATTTTTCCACTATGCAACTGCAGGCAGGCAAGCCTCCCTTCCCCCCTTCGAGCTACACTCATAGGGAAAATTGGCTGAGCCTGCTTCCCTGCTTCATGGGCTCTTCCTTCCCAACAAGAGCTTTGCTCAAGGAAAAACAGGAGAAGAAGGAAGGAATGTTTGTGGTCCTCAGGGGGGGAATGAGGGGGGTGGTTGGGGAAACATGGACTTCCCTTCTTTTGCTCCACATCAGAGGTTAGTATCTAGGAAGATTGCTGCCTACTAACATAAGAGTCTACCGCATTTTCTATCCAAATAGAAGAACAATGAAGTCTTTCTTCAATTAACATACTCACCTCAAAATATTTGATTACTCGACTTGAATGCTGGCCCAAGGGTCCTGAGTAGATTATCTGGCCCCCCTTTTTCATCAAAATTAACTGTGAGCAAAAAAAGAAACATTGAATGACATAGCGTTATATAAATATCAAATCTAATTGCACTCATAAATGTGTTGCTGGTTGTTTAAAAATTTAAGATTCCTATATTTCATGGTACTTGTTATAATATTGTGAAATGATTTGTCTGCATGCAGATACTAACATTATGCCAAACAAAGGTTGTTCTTTTAGATTTAGACTTAAAAGGAGGGGAAGGGGGGAACATAATACTACAGCTATAGTCCACAGCACATTTGTAAGTGACCATTCACATGCAAAGAAACCATGCCCTTTAATCTATTAATCAAAGTCAAATGATTATCTCATGCAAAGTTAGAGCTCTTTAACATATATCATCATCATCTGAGCCTCATACCAACTATTGTTGTCGGCTAAGCTATTTAACATACCAAGAGAGGTAAATCAAACTTTCTAAAATCTGTGACATCTTCTATCTTTATCGAAAAATCATTAGTCCTAAGATATCTATAAAACTACTGGTCATGCACCATTCTAACAAAAAGGTACATTGAATGCTTACCTCATCAAACGATTCAAAAATATCAATGCTTGGCTGGTGGATTGTGCAAACCACAGTTCTTCCAGTCTCCACGATATTTTTCACTGCACGCATGACAATTGCAGCTGCTCTTGCATCTAGACCCGAGGTGGGTTCATCCATAAATATTATAGATGGATTGGCAACAAGTTCCACTGCTATAGTTAGTCGCTTCCGCTGCTCAGTAGATAAGCCATTTACAGAAGGAAGTCCAACTAATGAGTCTTTAATCCCTTCAAGTTCGATGGTCTCAAGCACTTCCTTCACAAATTCCTAGGTAAAAGAGGATTCATCACAGATATTATAAGACAATTCTAAGGAAATGAAAAGTTCATGATGGTATCATGAAAATTCATTGATTGGTACATATAGCTCAAACCATGCAAATGGGCAAATATTACCCTTTGCATTGAAAAGGAGAAATAATTGAAAGAATATCAATTATATATAATTCTTGTGTTGAATACTGCATCCAGTGCTAGAAGTGACCTTAGGTACCACCTAAGATTCATATAACTTTGAAAGTTTGAACTGTGGAATGTATCAACTCACAACTTTAGTCTTTTGATCAATTTGAAGAGCTAAACGTAACCAAGCTGAATAAACCACTGATTCTTCAACTGTAATTTGTGGGGAATGAATGTCAGTTTGCTCACAATAACCAGATATCCTAGCAAATGTTTCTTGGACCTTAGGAAATCCCCCTATAGTTATGACTCCTTCAATGGTACCACCAGTTTTTCTTCCAGAAAGAACATCCAAGAGTGTTGTCTTGCCAGCACCACTAACACCCATCAAAGCTGTAAGAATCCCAGGTCTAAAAGCACCAGTAACATCTTGGAGAAGCTGCAGTCTTTTTTTATTTACACCTTGCTCAATCAAAGCCTACAATGGAGAAAACTTAAATCATTATCACTGTTGACAGATAACATATCCTCCAGATTAAATAATGAAAAAAGGCAAAGGATGTGTGGTTTCAATGAGGTAATTACTGGAGGCATGTCAACAAAGTATTGAACATCTTGAAATGCCATTGTTAGGGGCTCAAAAGGTACAACTATCCTTCCTGTTCAAAGAGCAAAGTCAGCTTAAAAGTTCTCATTTTTCACGGGCTCAAAACAAGGTCTTCAATATAATTTTATATGCTTGTTTATAAAGGAAAACTATCATGATGCCACCGGCTTCAAAACCCATGTTAAAATGGCACCTATAAATATTAGCAAAAGTTCATATCTCTCCATTTCATAGTATGATGCTCTTGGAACCAACAAAGTAGCAACTTTAATAAAAATATTCCAACATTTTGAAACAGTGGCTCCATGGTACTTTTCCGTTTCAACTAACACTGCCTCATAAGAAATGGATAAAATAACTCACCAGCCCTACTCTGATCAGGAGTAAGACTCTCATTACTTTCTTGTTCTTGAATTTGAGGGAACTTCTCACGTGAAATAATTGCCCGGGAACTACTAGGAGCTGCAATTGCAATAATTTCCATTAATTTAAAAACTTAGGGGAAAGCATTGTTGGCTTTTAAAAGCAAAATCTTGAAACAATATGGGTTTCTCAATAAAATCGTTTCAATTGTATTAGTTGTGGGAATGAAAAGCTACTAGGTTGTTATCTGCATGGTTCGTACTTTCTTGAATTGGTTATTACTTGTCGCATTTCTATTGTAAATGTCAGATTCATTAGGGCTTTGCTTAAATATGCAAGTCAATTTGCCTTGTTTCTTTGCTTTAATCTCCACAATTTTAAGTGTTTGGCTTTTCTTTTCATCAATAACCTCCAAAATTTTCAACATATCAGAGATTGAGAGTCAAAAAATTGTGGACTGCAGGTTTAATTTGGTGAGGAAATTCTTAACGGGCTATCTGTGGCTTTGTCAGCCAAATAATATAAAGGAAATTCATTTTCTTTTTTAAAATCACTAATATTCCTGTACTTGAAACATATAAAAATTTCGTAGGGTGCTGAAAAAAATAAAAAATAAAAAAATGGGATGTGTCTAACAACCATAAAGATAATGAACAAACAAAGTTAAACAAAGCACGTATTGCCCTAACAGATATTGCCCAGCAACTGCACTAATTCCCATATCTGAAAATAACCCAAACCCAAACAACAGGAAGAGATTATTCAAATAAGCATTGATATTTCCAGTGAGAACAAGATTGCGATTTTCATTAATGAATGTGCAAATAAACTAATGCTTTTTATTACGAACATAATAAATTGACTAAATTGAAGACAATAATTCCATACTTACCCTTTAAGTAAGTTACAGCAAGTGTGAAGCCGATATTGCAAAGTATAGTGATGCCAAATAAGGCCCCAACAGATACCCAATACAAGGAGCCATCAAAGAGAAGTCCCCGGTTCTTTAGTGTTTGTTGCCCCAAGCTCATATTCGCAGATGATATCTGCAATACAAAATTATGAGCAACTAAAATTATCTTGAAGTTTACTATGTCAAACTACTTTTAATGTAATAGAACTTATGTACACAATATTTAAAATTTTAAATAATGATTTTAACAAAATCCACCCTAAACCCTAAACCCTAAACCCCTAAACCCTAAACCCTAAAACCTAAACCCCTAAACCCTAAAACCTAAAACCTAAACCCTAAACCCTAAAACCCTAAAACCCTAAACCCTATAGTAAAACCATTTACTTGATGATTAATAGTTTCAAAAGCATTACCAAAAGGCCTCAGTGGTTTGAGCCAACTTAATAACAAAAGCACTCCACTTCCAAATCTGACTTTTCTTGGGTTGGGGTGGGGGTAGGAACAACAACCATATCATAAAAGTAAAATAAATTTTTACCATGTTTGAAGAATGCTAGTCAATATAGCTAAAACTTGATATCCATTTTTAAAAGAATTAACTACGAAATATTTAAAATTTGTAATTTGAGTTCTTTTCAAAATAAAATGAGGTTTAATCTCCACACCAATCTGAAAGGCAAAAGTGAGAAACACATCCAGAAACAAGCCAATATCTAAGATAAACTTCTTAGAAAATGATAAGGTAAGGTCTATTGTGGAAGTAGCTAAGAGAAAAGAATTGGAGTACTAATCATGTAAATGAAAATACAAATAATAAAATGCATCTTTATTTTCATATTTATTCGTGAGAAACAGTACAAGTATAATTCTTACGAACTTAAATTTTTCCCAATGTTTACCTTATCCCATCTTGGGGCTAGGAATTCATTGTTTGAAATGCCAACCTCCCCATATGTCAATGGAGAAAGCCAAAATCCCCACTTCAACCATCCAGGCATAGATGCTGAAAAAAAGAAAGCAGTTTTAGCCTCTCTCTCTCTCTCTCTCTCACACACACACACACACAAACATAATTCTTGTATTTACATGAATATTTTGCAATTGGTCAAATTCGACTATGAAATATAAACAAATCAAGAGAACAATTATCCACTTTATCTTGATTGTGTGAATGATTCTCGCTTTCATATAAACATTTTGGTAGTGGAACTGATACAAAGAGACCAAAAAGACTTACGTGGGGCAAGAATGAACCCTCCAAATAAGAGGCCCATCAACAAAAAAAAAGCGCCTCCAGCAGTGGCGCCCACCACAGTTTGAAAGATTGAAGCGATAAAACGGAATGCAGCAGTTGATGTTTGATGCATTGCAAATAGAAGAAGGAGCTGACAAAAGAACCTGAAAACCATGAAGAAGTAGAGCATACAAATAATTGGAATTAGAGTGGAAATAGTGAAATTTTATGTAAAAATGATGTTACATAACTACGAAGCATATCAAGGAGAACTAGATCGAGCAAGAGAGAGAGAGAGAGAGAGAAAGAGAGAGCTCCAACTGGTTGTTAGTTATTTAGTAATCCCAGTCAAAATAGTTAATATCCATGACTGATTAGCTCATTGTGGTTGAAGCTGATATGCAGGGACGGAGGGAAGGAATGAGCATATATATATATATATATATATATATATGGAAGCATGTACAAAACACCTATAGGTGAAGTTCTACAGTACTTCACCTATACCTCATCACCGTCCAAAGTTCATCACACAATCATAGTTGTCCGGTAGTATTTGAATTTTTATAATTATTGTACTAATCAGATTTATCTAAAAGTTGGGACGTGCGTACAAGACCAAGTCGCACGAAAATAAAATATTAAAAAAACAGTAGACAAAATAAAATGACAAAATTACCTCTGAAACTTTATAAGGGTATTTTACATAATTTTTATCATTCAAATTATTTTTTTTATATTTTATTCATGGGCATCTCACTAAGGCGCACAGACCTACAAAATTTCAGATCATTATGATTTGTAAAAAAAAATATTAAAATTCAAACACTATCAGACATATGTGACCGTGTGATAAATTTTGAACGGTGATAAAGCTGTAGGTGAAGTACTGTAGAAATTCACCTATAGGAGTTTTGTAGTGTTTTCCTATATATATATATATATATATGTACATATAAGAGAGAGAGAGAGAGAGAGAGAGAGAGAGAGGAGGAGGGAGGTGGTAGTAGTTCTTGTCGTGTTGTTGTTAGTTAGTTAAGTTAAGTAACTTAAGTAAGTAATAACTTAAACTAACTACTAACTACTAGACGTAACG